CTCTGAAGGTGGATCCAAGGATAGTGCTGAATGTCAGTTTTTATTCTGTGTTTTTGTTTTATGTTATATTTTGGTAGTTATTTTAATTTTGTTATATTTTCTCCAGGTATCAATATTTTTGATCACTTCTTTTCTAATTAGATTAGCAATCAAGCTTTTTTCTTTTCTTTCTTAAACAAACTAATTGATATAGGAGATAAAACAACAGGGAACTACTTCCTTAACTTTTTCGAAAAGAAATTTTTTTCTTCATTTTTTATTATAGGGAACTAAAGCATGTAAGCCATTGAACACAGTCAATTTCTTTTAATCTTTTTTATTCATAGCTATAAAGATATATGTTTATTAGATCATGAGATTCTTTCTAAATATTATTTTACATCTAAGGATTTAGGGGTTGTCCTTTTTCGTCCTTGGTCTTCCGGACAGTCGATCAAGTAACGGGATGTTCGGAATTAGGTCTGTATAGCATAAAATCATTTTTCGGGATGTTGGGAATGAAAGTCGTCCGGGTGTTCGGAATGAAAAGTACGGATGTTCGTAACGAAAACATAACTTATACAAGACCGATGTATCCGAAGATCATAATAGATATGTCCGCAAGTTCGAAACAGAAAAAGATCGGATGTTCGTAACAAAAAGTGAGGGACGTTCGGAACGAATTTCGGTGTCTGCTTTTTAACATAGAATGTTTTGTTACGAACATTCGCCACTTGCTGTTACGAACATCCGTAGCTTCCATTCTGAACATCCGGAGTTTTTCATTACGAATATCCGAACTTTTCTGTTACGAACATCCAGACATTTTTGTATTAAAAAACGGCTAAAAAGTCTTGGCACATGCCATTCCGAACATCCGGATTTTTTTGGCTATCATTCCGAACATCCGAACCTTTGCAATAAAGCGGGAGCTCGGAACGGACTACTCTGTCGGATGTCTGTAACAAAAAGCAAGGACGAAAAGGGACGCGGTCAAGTGTTTATAAGAATTGTAAATCAATCTAAATTTGACAGGTGACATATTTTCTAAGACTTTTTAAATGGCTAAATGATATTCAGAGGTTGCTTGAACTAAGACAGGTTGTACAACACTCAATAAGTATTGTAAAAAGAATCTAGCTGTTATTTTTTAAATATAAAGCGTCATAGTTTAATTAAAGATCGAAGTAAATATTGCTGCCTTTAAAAACTTGACAGTTTACTCTTGAATGGCTACATTTATTGTGACGAAATGCATTACCAATCTTCCCTCCATATTGATTTCATCAGTAACTTTTCCCAGATGTAATTAATAAAAATCTTATATTTTGTCTCAGTGATGTTTGTGAAGAAAAAACAATATTGCTCAAAATGGCATCGCCGATTCTCCTCAATGCTTGGTTCAGCAACGAAGCTACTGGTCTTCCATTTACAAGTTTATTCTTAAATTATCGAAAGTCCAAGAGTAAAATGATTAGACTTACAAATGCAATTGATAATTTAATTCAATTCAGAATTCTTCAAAAAGGAATTGGTCGTGATCGACATATTGTAACAGCCCGCAAAGAAACATATATGAAAGCACCACCAGCCACTATTCGTTCTAATGCAAACATGCTTGTTTATCTGCAATCAATTGGTATCGATCTTGAGGAATATGTGCATTTTTATCTGTCGTCGCCATTACCGGCGGACATGAAATTGACCGAATTTGCTGTTAACATGATTTTATCTAATGATGATTATATTGAAATTTGTCACTTGTTTAATGATGTTCGTATATAAAAAGAAATGGAACAACGGTTATCACAACATATGATCCAATACAGAACGATACAAGGTCGAAAACAATATTATATACCTTCATCTTCTCAAATTGTTGATCAAGGTACAGTTTCTCTTTTTTTTCCAAAAAGTGAACTTTTTGTTTATTATTTTCGATTTACAGAAAATATAAACAGTCAATATGGTCAAGAGTCTGATTTTAATGACATTAACAACAACAACATTTCACTTTCAACGCCTGTTCCTTCATTACTTCGTTCAACGGACAATTTATCAATATTACTTATGCCATCCCATCTTCAATATCCATCTTTATTTTCTGAAGTTCGTGATCAACCAGAATATAATAAAACTATTAATCAAGAAACATCCGAAACTGAACCAGAAAATCTACAACAGAATCATCATTCACTAATTGACGATGCTTCGAACCTGCTCACTAATACGATTGATAGCGATCCATTAACTATTCATGGACAGAGTGAGTTTGCCTTAAAAACATCGTTACTTAATTTTCAAAACACGTGTATGTATAATTTTTAGGTCTCGTACCCGTCATGAGCGAAGCTGGTTCTGGCGAATCAGTTTTCAACCAATTCAATACGTATGAACAAACAAATTACGAAAAAGGGCAAAGTAAGAAAGCAATATTAGAACTGATCACATGAAAATTTTTTTATTGATATTCAGCTCAGTCAGAATTGCAAAGCATCGAATTACGGTCAAACGATGATAACAATTTTCTACAAACAGAAACAACATCATATGATATGTCAAAATTTTTAGAGAAAATAAATTCTCAACAAACAATAGAACTGATTTCTGAACTGATTCGGAACAAAAACCATTTAATAAAACGAGTATTGGAAGAACAAGATAATGATTCTACAGCAAAACAACCGAGAAATAATGAACGTGAACAAATAACATTACCAACTTTCGAATTGGATCATAACTTGACTGAATCAGTTTCTCCTACTCCGATCTGGACTCATTCGACTGTTAGCATCGGTAGGTTTCATTTGATTGACTTGGTACAAAAAATCTCAAAAGTGAATAACCATACATAATAACCATTGCCTTTATATTATCAACACTTATTGTACGTCATAGTTTCAAAGGGCTTAATATTAAATTATTGAGTAGAAACACGAAATACACCAGTCATTGTTAGAGTCCTGTAGGACAAACATTTTCGTGTCCCGAATCCCGAATATTCCGTCACGAAACTTTTTCGAATTGTCCCGAAAAATCCTTTAAGTCCCGTTAACTGAAAAAAATGTAAAGACATCGTTTTGTTGAAGAAGACGTCTTTTCTATACCAACAGTAGATCAAATGGATGATTGTTAGACAAATTAGCTTTTTTCTGATATATATTGGCAATGA